CTACTCTAAAATAATTAGAGAGTCATCACTAAAATTTTTAGGAGTGATACTTGACAAAAACGTGGTATGGAGAGAACACATAAGAAGGAACGAAGATAAGTTTAAAAAAATGTTGGCATACTATACAAAGCTATTTTGCAGCTCTAATGAAAGTAAAATTAAAAAACTGTTTAGTATACAAAAACACGCTGTCAGAATTGAAGTTTGATTCACACTTAAATAACAAATGAACTATTTAAAAAACACGCTGTCAGAATCGAAGTTTGATTCACACTTAAATAACAAATGAAATATTTAAAAAACACGCTGTCAGAATTGAAGCTTAATTCACACTTAAATAACAAATTTAAAAATCATCACATACAAATGTTTTCAATGTTTTTCAAATGTTTATTTTTATGTACAAACTTCACAATAAATATCTTTTTTAATATTTAGTATACTTTTTTTTTAAAAAAAAACATCTTCGCTTCCAACAAGGCTGTCCATTATAGTATTTATAGAAAAGAGAAAGAGAAGCAACATTACGACGATGTGATAATAGTTGAAAGTTGGCTTCTAGAGCAGGTCCAACTATGTTTAAAATGCGTTTTTGCACCTTGTCTAAAAAAGAAAGGGCATTATTAGAAGATCCGCCCCAGTATTCCATACAAGGCTTTGAAATTTATAGAGATAGAGAATAAAATCCAGAGTAAGAAAGTATCGAGCTCAATAAAGAGATGCAACTTTAGCAGATACTAATTTTGCAACGGATTTGATATATGGTTTCCAAGAAAGATCAGAAGTAATAGTTAATTCTAGAAGATAAAGGGTAGATGACTCATCGAGTACGTTACCGCTCATAAATATAGGAAGGTCTAAATTATTGCGATAACGATTGGCTAAAAAAAATTGAGTTTTATCTGAATTAAAGTTCACCAGCCACTGTGAGCCCCATGCTGTAGCAGAAGTGAGATCCCTCAAACTCAAATGCTTTTCAACAAAGTTAATTACATGAGCCCTACAAGATTTTCGAAATACAATTATGAGCAACCTAAAATGCGCTATTATACTACAAAATTTTTTATTGTCATCAGAGGTCCAAAATTATGGAACACTTTATTAAATAACAAGCTGAGAAATTGTTTTTCCTCTATTTGAACAACCTTTTTAACTTTTAAACTTTTTTTTTTAACAACTCTTTTTTTTTTAACAGTCTCTAAACTTTCTCTAAATTATCCTATTAACTTATTTTTAGTTTTTGGTTCGATTATTTTTTATTTTCATTTTCCTATTTTTTTAAATTATAGATTAGTAACTAATCTTAGCATACTTTATTTTTAAATGGTACAAAGTAATTATATTTTTATATTTTAATGGTTGTACTCAATTGCTAATGAAAGCAAGTATGGACGTAGTGATAAGGCAATTATTGTCTTATTTTAGCCTCGGTCATGTAGAATTTATTTATACAAAACGGCATTGTATTGTTTTTTACTTTTTACTGACGAAATTAATAAAAAACATAAAGAAAAACATTTGGATTCATTTAAAAATACCAAGTTTGCAACAATTTTTTTAGAGTTAAAAATATTTTTAACTCTAAAACTTATAAACAACTTTTAAGCTATTTAAGTTCAAAACTAAAAGTGGATTTGTTATATATCAGCAGTGATAAATTAAATGAATTCACCAAAAGTAATAAAAATGATGTTTAACACAGTGTTTGAGAAAAATTCCATGGATTGATCAAATGAGGTTTATATTCTTGTAGTCAAAAAAGTGCCACTATCCCTACCACTGCCCGCAGTTACTTCCAGTTAAATGGAAGACCAAAAGTGTTTTTGGAAAATGCCAACAAAAAATAAATCAAGCACAGAAGGAGTCTGAGTCAAGAACATCAGAAGAGCTAATCTTATATGCTATTCATCTTTTAAAAGCAAGAAGAGAGGCAAAAGAATCACAACTTCTTGGTCAAATGCTAAACGGGAGTAAGATGGGTCTTGCATTGTGGCAACACCATATTTTCCCACAAAAGTTTTAGCTATTTTACTGGATTGTGGGTTAACTAAGCATGACTTCCAAACACTTAGAAATGAAGCCATGATTGCTGAGTCCAACATTTTTTCACCTTAGATTCTCTAATAAAAAAAATGTATGCAACCAGCAGCAGGTATTACAGTGTCAGACTATTCAGCTGAAATAAGTCTTTAGACGCTTCTAAATAGTAAACCCTCTTGTTTGTGCCTGCTGCAAGTAGAAGTATTTAAATCCTTTCATCTGACATCTCTTAAACGGCTTACATTGCAACACAAAATTGGATTTGATGGTTGTACTGGGCAGTTCATACAGAAGCAGACTACAATTGATGGTGAAAGTGGCAACAGCAACAGCGTGAATAAATATTTATTGGTGTATTTCAAATTTTCAATGTTTTCTTGCACTAATTTTATTTTTTGTTATTAATTACCTAAATCTTTACCCAAAATATTTACCTTAATATTTAACTGATATTTAAAGTAAGACTGTTGAAAATCTGATGAAAATTTATTTAAAAATCCTTTTTTTTCTCTTTTTTTTATTATCCAGTGATAAAAAAAACTACAAATACAATAAATCTATTTGAAGAGGTGTTACATCAGGACCCTCTATGCTGACGAAAATAAAAACACAGATGCTACAGGCAAAGCAGCAATTGTGTCTTAAAAGTTTCTTTGCTATTCTATCTTTAAAAGCATTGGTTGATTAGGGTCAGGGTAACAACATCAGTTTTTGCCATGCCTAATAACATCTGTCCAAAAGCATCTGTAAATATAATGAGGTATAATAACATCTGTCCAACAACATCTGAAATTTCATCATTGTTTATTAACATCTGTGCAAAAATTAAATGAATACTACAGATGTAGTTACATCTTTTAAATTATCAAAATTATCAAAATTATTAAATTATTCAAAAATATCTGAACTACATCTGGAAAAAAATATTAACTAATAATGCATTATTCTAACCAGATGTAAAAACATATAGAAATTTTTTTAAATATATCTGAACTACATCTGGAAAAAAAATATTCACTAATAATGCATTATTCTAACCAGATGTAAAAACATATAGAAATGTTTTCAAATATATCTGAACTACATCTGGAAAAAAATATTAACTAATAATGCATTATTCTAACCAGATTTAGTTACATTTAAAAAATTTTTCAGATGTAACTGCATTTGGTGAAAATACTTCCAGATGTTATTGTTATTGGAGAAAAATTACCAGATGTAGTTACATCTTTCTAAAGATGTTGTTAGGGGTTGTTGAATTTTCAGATGATATTGGACAGATGTTATTAGTGTAAAAAAAATACAGATGATCTTAGACAAAAGTGTAAAGATAATCTTGGACTACTGTAGATGTTGTTGGACAGATGTTATTGGTGTAAAAAAAATACAGGTGATCTTAGAAAAAAGTGTACAGATAATCTCGGACTACTCTAGATGTTGTTGGACAGATGTAGTATGCTTTTACCTTTGATGGAGCTTTCACTGCTCTTTGGGAAAGCTCATTCTATGGGACAACAACTCTATTTGAAAAAAAGTTGTTGTTCTTTACAATTTCGTGCTAGCTGGCGTTCTAGTTTTTGGTTATGCTCTCTCAAAATATAATTAGCTTTACTGTTTGAAAGTTTTTGCGGGACGAAATAACTTTCAAACAGTAAAATTTACTTTTTTTTTTTTGCAATTTTTTTAACAAGTATTGGTACTAAAATCTACAACTATCAAAATTTACAACTATCAAAAAAATCTACAACTACCAAAATAGGTTGTTACTATGCAAAAGTAGATATTTTTAAATCTAGGTATTCATTCATTCATTCAACCAAACTTTTTTATTTTGTAATTATTACGGTGCTCTTAGAAGTCAGTACGAATCGTAATAGCTAAATAACATATAACTCACGGTTGTTTAGATATTAGGAAAAAGCGTTATGTTTAGGTACGCATGCGCAAGTTTTAAGTAAAAACTTAAGAGTTTTTAAAATGGCTGTGGTTCTTAACTACGGAGTAAATTTTAGATGACAACCATTTAGTTGCATTTTTTGGTGTACTGTTCAGTATTATACTGTTCAGGTTTTAACTTAGTTTATTATCGTTATCACCATCATCATTGGTTTAGCGTTCCACGCTTTCACAAATTAGGTTTTTTAAAAATAAAACCCTATTTCCTCATAAAACATAGCAATTACGTATTCAGCTATTTTCTATTTTTATTTTGAATAATTTTTAAATTTAATTCATTTAAACTATACTATAGTATTTATAAATAAGTTCAAATCTGCTTTTAAGAAATTCCGCGAAACTTTAATATATATATCTATTTTAATCACCCGCTGTATATAATACAAGGTAAATTATTATAAAGTTATATTTTTGACAAGAAATAAGTCAACTACCTAAATACTAAATAAATTTAGTCAACTACCTAAACTTTAAAAAATGAAAAATTCTTTATTGCAAAAAATAACAGTTTTTGTATTAACAATTTTGAACGTTCAAAAGTCTTCTTTAGGTCCTGTGCCCTCTGAAAGGATAGGAATATGTTTTACTGTTTTGTTTTTCCCAGGCTCCATTTATGGCAACTTTTCATAAATTATTTTATTTGACATAAGCAAAAACATATCTAAGTTTGAAGTTTGCTCATATATTTATCTTGAACACCAAAAAAGTTGCCGCAATTTTTAATCATTGCCATAATATCCATCATGATATACATTATAAACTCGGCCGACGACACGAGTTTCGAAGTGATGGGGGGGCATAATCATTAATTATTAAAAAAACTCTTGTAGACTATATCTTCCTATATCTTCAATTTTCGTGTGTGTTGGGGGGAAGGTAGACATGTTTAAATCCCACCCGTGTCGTCGGCCCTGATAAATGGATATATCATAAACGGAACTTTTTAAATATTTGGTTTACCGAGTTAACTTACAAAGTACCGGTTTTAAAAGTACCCGTAACTACAGCCGCAGATTATTGCTGTTCGATTTAAAATTAACTCGTTCAAAACAAACACAAACTATTGTAAAAATTTACTTTTTACAAAAAATTTAGTTGGTTTTTAGGTCTAAATTATTTTTTCATTTCAAAAAGAAGTTCAGAGATTTTGATAGATATGGTAAGAAATTTTTATTTTTGAAGTATCACTTTTTGCAAATAATATATATGTAACTAGGTATTCCATTATTCATTAATTTAACTAAGTTAGTTTAATCAATCTAATTTTCATTTTTATTATAGATTTTTTTAAATTTAAATTTAATTAGTAACTCTTTTTTGCTTATCTTTTGATTATCTTGATTGTTTTAAATGAAAAACTATGAAGCATGATTTGATTAATACAAATAGACAACCCTATTATACTTTTAGCCATATTTTGACTTAATTGATTGCACTGGTAAAATGAAATTATTTAAGTTGTGTCAGTACTATTTCAACCTTTTTATTTCAAAACTGATTAATTATAAAACCCTTATATTTTTGATCTCGGAAACTTAGACTATTTTGTTATATCACTGCAATATCATGCTTGTAGCAATTTATATGATAAGTTTTACATTATTATTTGCATTTTAAATCCAATCTTATTTAATACAAAAAACCGTATAACAGAAGTATACAGAAGTATAGTTGTCCCTGTACAATCAATATAGTGTAAACACCAAATTAGATCACCTAAAAAATCAGGCAAAAAGCTTTAAATTGATGTTGCTCATGCATTTTTTGAGGGATAGCTTTTAAAACCTCTTAAAACATAGAAAATAAAATATTTTACTAGAAAAACTTAAAATATAGCCATTAGACATTTTTTTTTCCAAAATAAATGTATTTGTTCCAATAAGATGCTGTTTCAATTTAGTCAACTCTCTATTTATATGGTGTAGTATTTGTCGAATAATAAATACTGCAACTAGACTCTAAAAAGACAAGAAAAGAAGTCATGATCTTAGGCAGAGATTAGAAATAGTTAACGTATCAAAAATTTTTGTCAGAGAATTTAAGGTGGTTTGGGTATGTTGAGCATTGAGGATGCAATAGTTACTCCAGAGTAACCTCTGAAGTACCTGAAAGTCCTATACTTGGTCCTGTATTGTTTCTTATTTACATTAATGATTTTCCCAACAATCTTGCATCTAAAATGGCTCTACTTGCTGATTACCTAACTTTATACTCATATCTTGACATAAAAGTCTTCACTTTTTGATTGCTTAGAACAGGTAGCCAATCTTGAATCTGATCTCTGTTCTATTACAGTTAGAGCTTACAGTGGTTTGAGAATTTTAACCTCACCAAATCCAGTTATATACAATAAATCTCAGTTACATAGCAAACAACTCACATCACAATATTGTCAACATTTCATGTCAACATGAATGACAACCCTTTATATCTTCTTGGGTTATCATTTACTACTGACCTCTCATGGAAATTGTATAAACAATCAATTATAAAGAGAAAATTGGCATTTTCTCTTTATAATTGATTAGCATTTGCTAATTTTCTCTTTATCTTGCTTCCATTATCTTTCCATTATTTGTCTTTTTAAGAATACCGTTGTCATATTTGGACTGGTTCTTCTAATGATGCTGTTTATCTTCTGGACAAGGTCCAAAAGTGCAAGTGACAATTGCTTGCTTGACCAGTCACAATTGTAGTATTTTAGAAAATAAGATGCCACTTTAGAGCTAGGATGATCATCAATATATGCGAGGAACAACAAACAACCAAGGGTATAACCTTGTGGTACCCCAGCATCTCCCCAGTTACTGGAAACAAGGGAGAATAATCTCCATCAAAAAAAAAATTAAATACAGCAATTATAAAGGAATGATTCAATCATTTCCAGATACACCATGTTAGGCAAGCTTATGAAGAATATTAAGAGCAATAGCCCTTGCCTCACAGCTTCTATCTATAACATGATAGAATCTTTCTAATATCGTTGTATTATCTTTATATTAACAAGTCAACAGTCAAGTAAGAGGATCAATCTGTTCTTTGCAATGACAGGAATAGTGTTCTTTGCAGCCAGTGCAGGAATAGTGTAGCCATTAGGTCCAAGTATTGAATTAAAGAAAATGATCTTGCAAATATTTGCCTTGTTTTTGGGAGAGTTAATAAGTTTAAATAATATATGAGAGATGTTATCTTGGGCTTGCCTAATTGTAAGATGTAATGTTAGGCTTGCCTAATACTTTATGAAATTGTTATAAATTTTCTAAAAGCCTTTCCTAAAACATAGCTTTTAAGATAAAATACAAGATTTACTAATCTGAGAATAATAAACCTTGTTGTTAAGACCTTTTTGCTAAGTTTCTTTTACAATTTTGCTAAGTTTTTTTTACAATATTTAAAAAAGATTTGTAAATCGCAGCTGCGCAATAAGAAAAATAATCTCTTAATTTACCCTTAATTTATCTTAAGGATAAGTTAAGGGATAAGGGCAGATGAGGCTTAAAACTAACAATAAGGAATAAAAGCTTCCATGCTTGCCTGAATCCATAAGATTTTAGCCCAAGGACTGCGGCAAAGAAATTCACAAAATTAATCCAAATCAGCATTAAAATAGTTTTAAGAAATTTGATAGTGAGTTTGATGTAGAATTATGAGATTTTTAGGTGACATGCTTTGCAACTATATAAAGGAGAACAAGAAGAAACTGAGCATAACCTAAAGTCAGAGACAAAACATTAATCAAGGAGTAAAAGTAATTTACATTTTCTGGAAAACATTTAACAAATTTTCTCATTAACATATATAACAAACTTTCTCATTAAAAGTGAAAAAGAAAAAAAGTTCAAGCTTTAGTGTCAACAAAATAGTTTAATGGTACTAGAGCCATGTCATTCAGTGTGATGATTAGTCGTTCAGTGTTATGATTAGTCATTCAGTGTGATGAGGATTAAAGTCACTAAAAGCAACAATATTGGCTGAGATATAAATAGAAAGCGCTTGGTCCGTTTGTTATAAAACAATATTAAAAAAAGTGCAATCTTGGGTAGAAGGAGAATGATATATATATAAAAAAGGTGATTAAGTAATAAAGAATTCAAATCAATTTCAGGATAAGTAGGTGATAGCTATTATCCTTTGATTTGCAAATAATAGAACATCAGCTTAAAGATATGAAACTGCCTAATTTACATTTTTTTCTTACAAAGTGCAAGCAGGTCTGTTAAATTTTGTGAAATGTAAGATTCAATGGAGGAAAAGTTACTCTGTATGCTATGAATATGTGTAAAGAATAAAATTAAACAAATTGTTGTTAATGATTTATAATTAGGGTACAGCTCTATTACCTGTTTTAATGGTTTTGAGGTCACCTGGTAGTAAGGCTTCCTACACTCAACCATAAAACACTCTGTGTCATGAACCTCATGGCACAGAGTATTTTATGGTTGAATATACTATGTATGCATAGTGAATATACTATGTATGCAGTTACTATGACAACATTTTTAATTTTCCATGACTATTGTTTTCTTCATGAATGATCAAGTTGAGATTAGTTCTAATACTAGCAGGGATATGGTGAGAGTCAAGTTTGACTTCTTCTTTACCACTACACCATTAACACATGTACCATTGTTTCATATATTTCTTTATTTGGAACTTATTACACAGGAAAAAGTTTTAGCATAATTTTTTACAAAAATTGCAGATGTAGAAGAGTGCAATTTTTTTTATTTTCCAGATTTTTTTATGTATGCTTACTAAACTTTTAATATTTACTTCTTTGATACAATTTAGTAATTATGGAGTTCTAAAATATAATTTTAAGTAATTTTTAGGTATATTAGTAATATTAAATATGTTTTTGGCTATATAGTGGTAGTCTATTTGTTAGCAACCTTTATATAGTGGTGGTCTATTTGTCAGCAAGCTTCATATAGTGGTAGTCTATTTGTAAGCAAGCTTTATATAGTGGTGGTCTATTCAGTGCCGGCCTTAGCCTTTTTGCCGCCCTCGTGTGAAATTTGTCCTGCCGCCCCTGAAAATTTTATAAACATGCTGGTAAATTTCATGGAAAATAATAACAAATCGAATTCAAAAATAATACTTTGCAATAAAACGCTACATGCAAAGAAACATTTTTTGTTTATGTTTTACACAAAATACATTTAATTTTTTAAATTAATCTTACGAGCCTTCTAATCACCAAAATCTTTGATTAGGGTTGAAAAATCAAGATTTTCAGCAATATTCTTTTCAATCGATAGGGTTCCTAAACTTGAAAGTCTATCCTGCGACATTGTTGACCGCAAATAGGTTTTTATTAGTTTCATTTTGGAAAAGCTTCTTTCTTCACTCGCTACAGTGACAGGTATTGTTAGCAAAATTCGCATTGCAATCCATGTGTTTGGATACAAATCTTACATTTTGTGCTGTTTTATATTATTGTTTTAAGTTTAAAACAATAATAGGAGTAATTTTATCCTTGACCATTTCAGAAAGAAAAGGTTTAATGCTCATCAGTTCATCGCAAAGGAGAATACCATTAATGTCCGATTTTAGATTTACGGTAAGTTTACTTTGAAGAGCTAAAGATGATTTTAGAATTTCTTCTCTTTTTTGCATACTATCAACATTATACAAAAAACCCCAAACTTCGGAATAATTCTCCAACTGTATAAATCTTTCTCTCATTGAAATTAAAGATGTGTCTAAAAGAGGATTGAAGAAATCGATTTCTAATTTTTTTTCAGGAGAAAATAAATAAATCCCATCTTGGGCTGGTTCGTCAAAATGGCGTTTCACTCGTATTATTCTTTTAAGTGGTTTAAAAACAGGCTCCACTTGTAGTTCTATAGCCAAATCCTTTGCTTTTATAATTGCATCTTTAAAACCACATTTTCTATAGTTTTCTAAAAATGAACAACGTCCATGTCTTTTTCTTGAAGAGTTTTACTAACAATATTGACTTGAATAAGAACGTCATACCAGACAATTAAAGAGACAAGAAAGCTAAAATCTTTTAATTGCTCTCCTAGAGCTATCGCTTCATGTGCAGTTTCAGGATTACATCCTTCAATTTCTGACAATGCTATCAAAGCGCCATGTACATCACCAACTTGATAACGAACGGCTTTAACACTACTAATTTTTGCTTCCCACCGC